TTTCACCTCTGACATGGGCAAGGGGGCATAAGGGGAGGTTTTGGACAACAAGTACCTGTGCAATGCCTAGTATGTGGGAGAGAAGGCTTAGCTTTTCAGGGCTGTCAATCAAGCAATTTTCATCAGAACTAAAATTGCACAAGGATTAGAGAGGAATACTAACCAAAGAATTCAGGGAAGTCTTATAACCTGCATTATGCAGGAGGTCAGATAAGATGATCGCAAAGGTCCCTCCTGGCCTTCTAAAGACAAGAATGATTCACATACTACCACAATCTGCCTTTCTCATCTGGGTATTTGTATGGCCTTCATCAACTCGACAAAGTAACTACTTGGCTGGATAAAGGGAATGCCATGGATATAGTGTATCTGGACTTCAGCAAAGCTTTTGACAAGGTCCCACGTGACTTTCCCATGAACAAACTGGGGAAATGTGGGTTGGTACAAAACTACTATAAGGTGGATAGATAACTTGCTTAATAGCCAGAAGCAAAGGGTAAATATAAATGGATCCACGTAAGAATGGCAGGAGGTTTTGAGTGGGGTCTCACAAGGGTCTGTCCTCGACCGAGTACTGTTTGATGGACTTATCAATGATCTGAATGCTCATGTAGAAAGCTCCTTGAGCAAGTCTGTATACGATACAAACCTGAGAAGGATTGCAAACATGTTAGAGGACAGGAGTGCAATTCAGAAGGATCTTGACAGACTGGAAAGCTAGGCTGGAGGATGAAAAGGATGAAGTTCAACACTGCTATATAGTGTGAAAAGATGGAAATGTATACCTTCAGAGGAATAATCAAAAGTACAAATACAAAATGGGTGACACCTGACTGGATGGCAGCACTACTGAGCAGGATCTGGGAGTCTTGGTAGGTCACAGATTCAATATGAGTCTGCTGTGTGATGCAGCTGCACAAAAGGCAAATGCATTTTTGGGATGCATCAACAGAAGCATTACGTGCAAGACACAGGAAGTGATAGTGCCTCTCAACTCAGCAGTGGTTAGGCCTCCTCTGGAGTACTGTGTGCAGTTTTGGGCTCCACATTTTAAAAAGGACACGGAAAAGTTGAAGAGGGTCTGGAGGCAGGCTATAAAAATGATAAGAGGCTTGGAAAGCAAGTCATATAGGCTAGGGACAGAAGTTACACATAAACTGGTTTAAGTGATCAGAAACTGTAACAGCATATAGGTTCAATGCACATAAACCAGCTTCAAAATGGCCAAAACTGGTTTAAGATAAACCTGTTGAATGTAGCATCAGACTTAACTGATTTTGGTCAAATTGGATTATGGAACTTGTGTCCCAGACCCCTTCCTGGTTTAAGTTAAATCAGAGTCCCCCAGCATCCCAGCATGCTTTTCAGCCTTGGGCTGATCTGGACTCGGCTGTCTGCGTCCAAAGGTAGAGCTGGCCCACCCCCTCTTCCCTAGCCAGGCTCTGGCTGGCTGAGAAGGGGGTGGGGACTGAAGGCACAGCAGCATTTGCCTGGCTTCCCCCTGCCATAAGGAAGAGGGAAAACACCATTTCTGTCTTGCTGCAGAGAGCAGGACATAAACCAATGGCTTGAAATTGCGGCAAAGTAGGTTTAGATTGGATATCAGGAAAAATGTCTTCACTGTTAGAGCAGTCAGGCAGTGGAATAGACTGCCTGGGGAACCTGTGGACTCTCCATCACTGAAGGTGTTCAGAAGGTTGGACAGCCACTGGTCAGATATGATCTAGATCATAGTTTCTCAACCTGTGGTACGTGTACCCCTGGGGGTGCACGAGACATGGGCGGAGGGTATGCGGGTCCCCCAACACTCTCTTTGTCTCATTCTCTTTTCCTCTCAAAACTATGGCAAAACATTTGGTGCAATTTAAAAAAATTAAGTTCCTCAGTAATAATTTGGTGTGCCACGCTTTGCGTAGCACTGAGTTCAGCCCTCCTAGCTTTGGCCAACATCACCTCTAGCCCAGGTACATACTTGAGTTGTGCACCCCTGGTGTAAAAGGTGGCAATCCTACCCACCCCAGATCAGACATCTGTCATATCAGTGCCTTATATACACAGCCCTTCTGCCAACATATGGCACACATTAGTCTGTAGATATAAAATCCCCTGGAAAATTGAGTGTTGGGGTACTTATTAAAATTTTCAGAAGTTAGGGGGTACTTGCTACTTAAAAGATTGAGCAACACTGATCTAGATGTAGGTATCTCTCTGTTCTACTAAGGGTATTTCCCATATTCTGGGCTTTGCCGGTTGCTGCATGGCACTGGAAGGGATTTTTTTCTCCTGCTGCTATATGTGTCAGGGCTTTTTTTTTTAAGCTTTCCCCAGAGAAATTGCATGTTGGCTGCATCCAAGGCTGGAGATTTTGAGTGAGGTGTTCCAATGCTCCTGCTGGGACTGAAAGCTGGATGTTTCTGGTCAGAGGATCTTGCCCCTCTGCCATATTTGGGGTCAGGAAGGAGTTTTACCCCATGGTCAGATTGGTATGGACTGTGAGAGTTTTTCCTTCCTCTGTGGCAGGAGGTGTAGCCCGCTTCCCAGGATCTCAAGGGTATTTTCAATAACCTTGCAGCAGGAGGATATTGTCCACTACGGTTCCCCTGCTTAACCTGTGGCAGGTTAGGGTATTATGCCTTGTGTTGGGTCAGGGTTGACTGTAGTTTTGTGAAGACAATGGATTTCCATGGGCTGGATAGTAATGTTTTGGATAGGGATGATCTTGCAGCAGGTAGGGGTTGGATTAGATGACTTCTGAAGGTCCCCTCCAGCCTACTTTTCTATTATTGTTTGATCATCCGCAACGAAAAATATATTGATGCAGGAGTTGATTGGAACTGGTTAGTTAATGGAGAAAACAAGCTGCAGGTGGAGTGAATTCTCAGAACTGCATCTACCTTGTATGCCTGTAATCCCCAGTTTTAGCAGCTTCCTACAAGGTCTTTATCCACTGCCTGATAAATCATTGACTGCAAGTTCCCAGCTTAGCTTAGAGTGGAAAGAAACTCTGTTATCTCTGATTTTTATACACAGACTTCTGCCCGGCACAAAGGGCACGAACTCTGGATAACAAAACACAGTAAACAACACAGACAAGATCAGAAGGATGCTTTAAAAGATCATTTCTTCTCATGTAGTAATAAGGGATTATCCACAGAAATTGGCCAAAAAAAAATGATAAAATTTGTAAAGCCACACAAAATTAACCTGTGGCACTCATTGCCACAATGTGTTCAAAGGGTGAAGAATTTAGTGGAATTCCCCTGCAGATTAGACACTTATAGGACTGATAAGATTATGATCTGCTGTAGTAACATTAACTAGGATAAGATATATGAGCTATCAACCTTCTGGCTGCAGACTATCATTAGCCACATGTGGTTAGGAAGAAATGGCTCCCTGAGGATAGATTGTTGTATAATTGGCCACGATAGGGATTTTTATACTTTCCTCTGAAGCTTCTGATGCAGGGGATGGGATACTGGTCTAGATGGCCCATTCATTTGATCTAGCTTGGCAGTGCCCATATAACATCCTTTTTACGGTCTAAGTGCACAAATACAGAGCTATCCTCTTTCTACTTTTATTCCCTTTGTGGGACCAAATCTCTTTATTAGAGAGTTAATAAACTTTATATATATTCTAAAGATAATATTGAAAATTGCAAAATTGCGTTATGCATTTTATAATTGGTGTGGAGAAAGGAGGAGATCTAATCCTATTGGGTCTTCTCTCTCTCTCTCTTTTTCCCCTTTGAAGGTAAGCAGCAAATTTTAATTAGCTTCATTTCCACAATTCGGTCATGCATATGTAATCTTTGTTCACACTTTTATAAAGTAAAATTAAGTGAAAGAAATTGGGTAATAATAGAAAGCTTGTCTAAGCAGAACAAATTTGAATTATCAAACAGAAAGAAAGATGACTGAAGCTACCAGGCTTGAAGTTGCACAAAGTCTGAGGTGGTTTCTCTGAAAAGGGACTGCATAAATAATCTATTGGAACAGGTGCTGATTATCCATGTTTGGGCATCCTTTGTTCAGTAGTCGCTTGGGCTGCCTAGGTGTAGTGATAACCACTGAGTGTGAGGAGACTGCTTAATAATAGCTTTCTAATGCTCTTCTTTTATCTCTAGATAAGAAGTGACCTGAACTTGTCTACTTAATAAAAATTACTTTCTAAAACCAGTTTTTTAGATTTCATACTGGGACAGCTCACCATACCAGGGTCTAACATGATTATGACTGCAAAAGCTACCCTGCCACTTTGCATTGCAATTTCAAGTACTCCTAATCCAGCCATACACTTCCTAATTACGTGTTTCCAGGGGTTAGCACAAGTGTCATAGTTTGAAACTAAAGCTAAAGCGTGTATTCAATTCAATTCCCTGAAGTGAGGCAGGGGAGAGGGCAATCCTCTGCTAGCGTAATCCTCTGCTAGTCATGTTTATTAGGAAGTAGGAACATGATTAGGATTACTATCTGCATCATTTTTATCTAGTGTGAAAAGATGGAAATTTAAAGGGATATTATTAACCTGTTTAAACTCAAGTGTTTGACTGACTTTAAACGTATTAGGCCAACCCTTACTTTCCAAATGGTTACTTTAGAGAAGCATGATCAGTTTATCACCTGTGGGCCTTTCTAAATTCAAATTCTTCCTTTTTTATTTTTTGTATAAAGATGAAACAAAAGTAATTGCTGGGGTATTCAGCTCGTGTAAACCGGCACAGCTCCACTGCAGTCAGTGCATTTGTTCCCATGGCAAGGACTGATCAAAGGATACATAAAACACAAAGGATGTTAGTCAAACAACCACCTAATCAGAGTTCAGCTGCTGAATGAATCAATCCTCTCTCTCCAGTGTCTACCAGCCCCACCTTTGTTTGTGCCCTGGCTGGTAGTTTCAAGAAAAGACCTTGTGGGGTAGAGCTCTGGTTTCAGGAAATAGGGCGGGCCCACCTGGGCTTGAATGGCAGATGCCTTTCAAGTCACCTGGTGGCTCCCCAGTGACCACTTCCTTGCACAGTTAATGTTTAACAGAGAGGCTGGAGCTGCAGACAACCCACATTTTTCTGTAGCAACAGGCAAGTCGTATCCTGCACGGAGCAGATGGCAGCAGGACCAAAAGAGGCGCAGAGCTGCAGAGGGTGACCTGGGGTGCTGGAGGAAGATCTGAGTTGGGAGAGCGCGGACAACAAAAAGAAGCTGTCTCTGAGTTTGGAGGAGGTAAATGCTGAGAACAACCCTGCTGCTCTCTCACCTTCTCTGCTGGTTTATTGACACAGCCTCTGTAGCTAGCAAATCAGTTTTGATTCAGGTGTGGCTTGTAACCACTGCAGCCTGAGTGCACTGGCTGGTG